ATTAATTAATGCGCCATTGCTCGGTTTTGACCCCGTGTGCGTCTTTTAATGAAATATGAAGCGTGTATATTTTCTCTTGATATTGTGTCAAAAAATTAACGTGCTTACGTTGGTTGTCAATACATATATAACCCTACGTACTGCATACACATTGACTAGAGCGCATTACCGTACAGTGAAAACCGTACAGGCACATGTGCGCGCACGCAACTACGCCTACACCACGCACACACACGCACGCACGCACACGCACGATGAATAAATACGTCAGAAAAAGGCAAACAAAATCTAGGACGATCGTCAATGTGTAAATTTGCGACACACGTGGGGAAAATATGAAATCAGGATACGAAAAACGTCAGCACGTTCCGCCCGCCTTCTGTATACGCAATTTCTGGTGAAATTTTCTTGAGCCGAAAGTTTTTAATTTTGTGCACGCTTGGTGGCATCTCTTCTTCTCTGTTTTTCACACCGTAACACGAATCTTTTGGTTAGATAGCTATAAATAGATTGACTTGTTCGTCGACGTATGACGGCATCGTGAGATTAGTTAGTCACGACTTTAGGGAATATCGTTAAATAATTGTGCATGTAAAAACTGTCGCTATACGTGTATCCCTGCGGGAAGAGTTCACGCATATTAATCACAGAACGGCTGGACCACACTGTGCTCTCCTCGCTCTGCTGTTACAAGCAAACCTGTATACTAGTGAACCTGTATAAAACGAACGCTTATTTGTGAAAGAATTCTTTTAATTGTTATGTACGAAGTGTACAGAGCTTTTAAAAAGACATAAGTGAAAAAATATTTTTAATTTTAATTCGAACAAACTTTAAATTTTTTTTCACTCATGCTCCGTAAAAGGGACTGGGTGAATACAAATTTGAATACAATTTTTTTGTATGTGTGCGCATTATGAATTTGTGTGGAAACACGCAAACTTGTGAGATACGTTGATGACGTCTTAGCGCCATCTGTTGTTTGGTTATTACATGACTATTTCTAAATTTTGTTATTTTACTAATTATTAACTAATGGACATAAACATAAGGAAATAAATTGGCGCAAGTACACTTTCGCACGGGTCAATATGGCGGCCGCCGATTCCGAACCCCCCAACGGCCACCGCTCCTATTCAGCATACTGGCGCATTGTATCAAGAGCGTATAAAGAAGGTTTATATACGCTCTTGATA